TAAATTGCTGACACAATACTGATCCCAAAATTCCTTTAAAAATCTTTCAGCATTTGACTGATTGTGGTACTAATAATAGAATGATGCTGCAATTTTATTGTCAGAGTTGTTCTTGGGTTTGACATTGTCTTTATCAATCTGTTAATGAATACAGTGCTTATGTAAGGTGATACTATGAATTCCTGGTTCAGAGCCAGAGATGGTGGCAATGCTGCTCTGTAGTAGAGCATGTTATTCACTAAAAGTTTCTTAGTTCCTTCTGGAAGTGGAGACTAGGAAGGGAAAGAGTAGTAGATACTTGATATTTTCAAAAGCTGTTCTGAAACAAGCACTGAATCATCCAAATCGTCTCTCAGATTTGAAGCACATCAGCACCAAAAGGCTGAGAAAAAGAAGCCAAGAAGCTCAATATTAGTTATAATTCCATCAACGTTTTCACGCTGGGAGTCTCTTCCTGCATCTTTAAAATATAAACGTGTTTCAGTCTTTGCAACCATGCCTGTGCTTGCAAACTCTTGAGAGAAAAGCAAATAAATTTTTTTTTTTTTTTTTTTTTTTTTTTTTTTTTGTAGTTCTAACTTTAGGCACATTCTCATAATATTTTGTTCTCTAGTTCTGTAGGAGCTGGGAGGATTAGAAGAGGCATGTGCTCATGGTGTACTGTTTGTCCCTGCCAGATGATTTCCCATGTCTTCTTCTGGGAAAGTACAGCTATGTTTCAACTGCTTTGCAGTCAGATTGGAAACTGGCAATCTAGGTCATTGTAAATACAAAGCAAAACAGCTGCCAATAAAACTGTAATATAATTCAGTATTCCCAGTACGTGAAAGCAAAGAAACAAATCCAGAATATTTGGACTGGATGACATTCCCTTCTCAGTTTATGGAGCTGTGTTCTTCCACTCCTTGAACAGCCTCAGTTGCTGCAAGGACAAATAAATGATGTGAACAAAGCATTAGAAAGTTTCAGATTCTCTGACACTTATGTTATTTAGGACCTTTCTTTGCAAGTAAGCACCTAGCTTTGTGTTGATCAATATGATGGCTAAAATACTGCCAAAGGTAGCTCAAGGCAGCAAAACAAGAAATCATCCTTATTTTGGAAGAGGCACAAGGTTTGCAGTGTCATTTGGCTCCAGAAAGAACTACTACCATTCTGAGTTCTATTAACATATGTGAGATATAACAGATCAGGTCAGTATTTATCTTCAAAAAAAGACCACCTGGGACACTGCATTCATTTCTGGACGTTTTAGCGGCAGACAAAAATATATATGCAGAGAGAGTTCAGCAAGGAGTAGAAGTAATAATTAGAGATCTAGATATTCTGACTTATGAGGACTGAAAACTATTTTTAGGCAGAGTTTTGTTAAATGATGGCAGAATAGAGAAGCTTGCTAAACATGCAAGTATTTATGTGTACTGGTGTGCTAGCTTGGCAGGTTTCCAAACTGATTTAAAAACATTCCCGTCTGCAACGTTTCATTTTGTTTGAAAGATTCTCTAGCAGGTAGATCATTATTTATTTGAAGACAGGAACGTTTGGGAGGAAAGGTAGATCATCTCCAAACTGAATCTGCTTGTGTAACCTATTAGGGATACTCAAAGCTGCCCATCTGCACACAAGGCAGGGAAACTCACGTGTGCACACAAATAGTGGTGTCACCAAGTCCCACTTAACTTACCCCTTTGCTCAAGGGACTGTGAAGTCAGAACAATACCTACCAGGAGCGAAGTAATTTTTGGTGGTAGAATTTTCATCTACCTGCAAGAAATCACTAATCACTGTACCATAGCATGTTTTGGCTGGTAGAAAATTAGTGTGAGTGACGTTTTTCAATGCATTTGGCTGTATTAGAGTTCTGGATAGACTCAGTGAATGGATTCTCAGTCATTTCTCCCAGTGAGCAACTCATGGTAATGCAGAATCTGAGAGTGATTTATTATGGTGCTGCCACAGCTCAAAAAGGGATTTCTTCTACAGAAAAATATTCTTTTTGTTGTACTTTGATGTAAATACTCCCTTCTCCTTTTGCCTTTCTTTCTCCAGTGACATTGCTTGATGTATCAGTGGCATATTAAATGTGTGATGTTTCCACTGCTTTGCTTGAGGCATGCTGAAAAAGAGAGAAATCATTAGTGAGTCCTCACAAAATCCTAGCTGAAGAGACGTAATATTCTGCCTTTTCCACTCTCCTTCATTCAAAAGTAGATCTAGACTTTGCTGGAGTGAATAGACAGATTTTTTGGCAGTAGTTTGCTTTCAGATGAGATAATTTACAAGATACAAACGTTCAAAGGCAGTATTGTGAATAAAATTTTAGTCGCAATGGAAATTTTATCAGTGAGTTCAGAGTGACCAGGATATTGCTTTTAAGATTTTTAGGCGTTCCTGTTAGCGCTGATGTTATTTCTGCATATGGTTTAGTGAAGTCAACAAATGGTATTGTTGCAAATGAGACTCAGTAATGCAGCTTATCTTAAGTCCATTCTTATCTGTGTGTCACTCAATGCCTTTTCTGTCACTTCAGTGTTGTGATCTTTATCTTGTTTTTTTTTTTTTTTTTCTTTCTTTTTTTGTTTGTAAGGAGAAAAGCAATTTATGCAATAGAGAGCAGAACACTATTATGGAGAATAAGATGTCTGATTTTTGTTCCAAGCTCTGCCAGAGTGACCTTGCACTGCCACTTTCTCTGTATTTCAGCATCCACAACTATAAAATGTGAGTAATGAGGGTATAAATGTATCATTTTTTTCTTGAGTAATGATGTTGCATGGTCATACTTTGTCCTTTTATTTCTGTTTACTGTATAGTTTGAGATTTGCCAATAAAAAAACCCCATGTATGCAGCTAATTACATTTCAGGATTCCCAATACCCAGTTTGTTGCAACTTATTTATTTGTATCTGTACAGAGGTGATATTAATCATTTGGAAACTATTACAGCCATATTAACTAAATGGAGAAAGCCAAATGTTTAGAAGATCTGTGGGCTGCAGATGCAAAAGGCAAGAGAATCATGTTTAAAGAGAAGGTATTCTACAAATCAATCCTGCATATGTGTCACCCTTCCTGCCTTGTACAAATCAAGGCAATAAATTTCATCTCCACTCTCTTTGAGCAGCTTATTATACTTTCATCTTACTCTGTTCAAATTATTCCTAATCACTTACTACTGTTTCATACAGCTTATTCATTCTTTCCTTCAACCAGACGTACCTAAGTAAGAGTCACTCCTAGAAGTTTTCTGATGCAGAAACTCTGCTCTTGTTTGAAACTGAAAACAAGTGGCTAAAAACTCACAATGACTCCTATCTCTGACATTATGGATGTTAATTTAGAAAAAAGTTCCTGGTGTTAGCACAGTAATGAGATTGTACAGGGTCTGCCCCTCTGCTGTGAACTGCTTAATTTTTCCTTAGAAAAATTCTAGCTGATTAGACTCATAGATCTGTAGAAATGCAAACAGTATTTTTTGTCTGGGTGCAGAATACATAGTCTGTATGGCAACAAAGTTCTGCTTTGATCCTTGCAGTGCTTTCCAAATGCATATGCCTCACTGGAAGTTGAAAGTGTTAAATATGGTTCAGGATAATCTGTGCTGCAGTCATCAGGAAAAAAAAGAGGTTGCTTTTTCTTCCTACTGAAGAACGTGATAGCATCGCTTTACCACTGGTTTTCATTCCAAATGATGCAATTATTCTGAAATATGCTAAAAACATCTCATAGAATTTTCACATGAAACTGTTATAGTGACATTTGTAAAATTCTCAGTGTGTGTTTGTGTATGTATGTACGCATGGAAGTTTTTCTTCATCTTTGTTTCTTCGAGTTTCTTCTAGATGACTATGGAGCTTAGTAGAAATATAATTCATGTCAACCTTAAAAAAGAGTATTTTAGATTTTGTATACTATTTTTTTCCTCTTTGAGTCTCTGTTGCACTTTCTGTGAAGAAAAACCTATGTTTCTTGATAGGACACAAATATAGGGATTGTACCTAGTATCCAAAAGAACTTGTGGCTTCCATCTCAATTGTTGGTGCAGCCTCTTGTGAAGGGATGCTGAATTTCTCATTGGTTCCTCTTTGGTGACCAGATATGTGGTTTGAGAAATAACGCAATCTGCCTCACTTTGGAAGCTTAAGGTGGTCTTAAGTATTGCTATTTTGAAAGCTACAAGAGTTATAAGGCATCTCAGTGGATCTCACAACAATAAGCACAGAAGCTAAGCTTGTCTCAGCATATTTTATAACAGTGATATATCTAATTTGGTTAAGTCTTACCTTTTCTTCTTGGCTATGTTAGTCAATCTTTAACTAAAAGGCTCTGACTTTAGTTATTCAATGGCAGTTTGCTCCAGGCAAGATGAGTGTCTTCCCATGAATAGCTTTTTGTATTACATTTCTTAGAAACAACTTCATAAGTTGGAGAATCTTGGATGTCTCTGTGGGGTGCCATGCAATATTGATATTTGCCATTTAAGTAAATGGGAATGTTCAGTTTTTGAGACTTTTCCACTGATGTACGTACACAGGTAGGCAGGCTGCTGTTAGGTGCTGACAGTGACATCAGTACCATGCTGAAGGTTTGAACTATGAAAGAAGGTTACATTTCTGGAAAAAATAAGGCAAACTTGGTTTCTTGGGCTGCAGGTGTGTGCTTTTAAGCAAGGGGAAAAGAACCCTGAAAAGGTGGAGATCCCTAGTGTGTATCTGGGCAGATTGCAGTCCCTGATGTCAGTGTGGTATCATCCCCCAATAAACTGGTAGGATGTCTTGCATCCTACCACAAGGAATGTGAAGGACACACTAAAGTTCAGAACTGAATCCAAGAATGAAGTAAGGAGTATGATGATCCATTCAGCCTTCAAAAACTTGTCTAGAAGGGCTAAACATTTTCTATATTGCTGTACTATAAGCCAGGGATTCAAAAAACGTTCCTGAAGAAAAGGTGAGAGGACATGATCAAGGAGACTAATAGAACTCTTTTTTACTTTCTAGATTTTTTGAGAAACCATTTTCAGTTGCTTTCAACTTGTTTTGGATTCAACTCATGATCTTAATGATGAAGGACGCCACAACCTATTAGCAGTCATCTGAGCCATCCAGATCTCTCAAGAGCCTGTTTCAGCAAGTTGGTCAATGTTCCCGTGTGATGCATGCGAAATATATTTTACGATTTAAGTATTTTCTGCATTCATCATGTGAATCAAATTACAAGGCACTCAAACAGTGAATAATTTATATTTCCCTAAAAAATGTTAAGATATTAAATAGCAGTAATAATGTTAGATTTATTAAACTGTTACAGAGAGCTCTTTCTTATCTTTGGTACTGCTTCAAACTCTTTGCCCCTATCAAATATATATTTTCTATCTTTGATTTGATTGTAGAGTTGTTTTTGTGTGGTTTTTGTTTTTCAGAGTTGTGATTTTGAGTTGTTGTTTTTATTTTTCTCTTTCTTGCTACTTCTATTATGTTTAATGTTTACTGGGCAAATCTTTTCAGGTCAGACATTCCCCAGCTGGATCTTCCAGTCACTGAATTCTGTAAAAGAAAATGGTTTTCAAAATTGGGTTTCCGTGTATTCTCTGTATTTGGGGACAAATGTGGAATTCTTTTCCCAAATCCACTTTGCCTTTCTGGCAAAGGTTGTATATTGCCTAAGTACCTGGCTTTGTAATGTATCTTCATATTTGTACAAATGGACATATGTCTTCTTCTACAGTGTTTTCTAATAGATCTAGAGACAGGTCGAGGAACACAATTTTATATGCAATGCTTATTGGCAAAGTTAAAAGTTTGGTTATTGACTCTGTGAGAATAACAGTAAAAATGGTATAGCTGCTTCTTCCCGCTTGAGTTGTAGCAGGAAGATTTTGGGACACTCCATACAAAATTTCAAAATAGAGAAAGAATGCATCCAAAATGGAATTTGCCATTGAGAAAGCTGCTTGTGTAGATACGATTGTGTAGACTAAGTTATTGCAGTCCAAGAGGAAACCTTCAATGTGATCAGGCAGTTGAATACTTTGGGGGAGGGAAGAGTTAAAATAGCTGTACAATATAAGGGTCACGTTACTTTCCTAACACCCATGGAGATGAAGATAAGAAAGCATTGTGAGCATGATAACAAGGATATTATGATGGTTAACATGACATTTATGTGGCAATGGAATGATCAATTCTATAAGCCCTCAGGAAGACAAGTGTTGCTGAAACGTGACAAATTTATTAAACCCATTTCTTATCACTTTTTTTTCCCGTATTTTTTCCCTGCAATACCACAGAGGATTCTGTGGCACAACAATAGAGGGAAAAGAATGGCACCTGGCAGCAAGGTAGCAGAGCAGGTGTCTGTCTGCTCTTGCATAAAGAGGGAGAAATAGGAGCTTGCTTGTCTCTGCAGGTTATGGAGAGCTCCTCCACAGAACATGGAAGGTCCAAATTGATAGATACTGTCAAAAGGACCTTCAGAGGTAAGGTTTAGTTTCTCACTTGAAAAGATTAGTAGTTGTAGTCTGAGGCATATGAGAGGAGAAAATAAATTTTCCTCTTGCTGAAGACAGATAGGAGGATAATATTTACATACAGGGAGATGGAAGAGGAGGAACAATCAGAACAAAGAAACAATATGTCTTAACTCTAATGGCGATTTCTAAGTGAACGTTTTGATATCCAGTTTCAAATAGTGAGATTATAAAGAAAACAAAAGTGGAAAACTTCATTTTGAACCCATCCCACCAAGAACCTCCTCTTGCGTTACACGAAAAAAAATTGTTCTGTTAGGTAAAATCCTGAAGGCTGGTGTCTGTTCACTTTCTTGAGCAAATTTGGAAACAGATTAAATATTATATTTATAGTGAGGATGAGCTGCAGACCATACTATGAAGGGACCACGAATCAGTTGCTTCTCATCATCTCAGTCAATGCTTATAGAGCTGCTGAATATGACATTCAAACAAACAGTAATTAATCCAATTAGAGTGAGGTTTGTTCTTACTATTTCTCAGTCTGTCTACCTACAACACGTAGTATCCATCTACGGATGAGAAGGTGACCTATGTAGGCACTCTTAGGTACTGGAGGTAATAAAAATTATAGTGCAATTTAAACCCTTTTTCAGGGAGTATAAATTGCCTTAACTGAAGAACATCCAAGCACTGCTGTGTGAAAGACTCATGCTAAAGCTGACTTTCTGGGCTGTAAGGAGAAAACTGTAATTTCAGCCTCACTAAAGACCAAAAGTGGCATTCTCTATGTAAAAGTGGTTATACAAAGTTTTCCTTCTAGGCTATAGTGCAAAAAGAACATCTTATCCGAACTACAACTGAGACTTGAAATCCTTTGGAAAGATATCTGGGGTGTGTGTGTGTGTGTGTATACACATAAAAGAAAATGTATGCTGTGATGTACAGGAATATAAGTAAACTGAAGTGATAATGCTCATTTCTAATGTTTTGCCTAAAAGTTCTGGTGACAAAATCTCTAGCGAAACTGAAAACATCAGAAATTTGCATCCCCAAAAGTGAAAGAAAATACCTCAGTTTCAGCAAGCTTCATCCAGACCAGCTATAATCTTGCATAATGAACTTGCATAGGTCTTGCAAGATAGCAAAAATGTTGGTAAAGACTCGAGATGAGAAGGCCGTGCCCAGACCAGTTCCCTCTCTAAGTAAACAGGAAATTTTCATAAGGAGATTGTTTTGTGGCTTCTGAAAGAAAACCCTTCTGATTCATGCAAAAGTACGTGCCAGCATTAAAATCTGTCAAAATAAAGTAGCTGTTTTTAGGGAAAGCTGGTATTTAAAATGTTACTACTTAAAACTTACTTGCTGCAGGATATGTCTTTAGCCACTGCTGATTAATGTTCTTTAGTAATACGACTTCAATAATAGTAAAATGCTTTGCACTCATTGTCCATACACAGATCTAATTCCTTTAGGTAACTGGATGAAGTTACATCGCTGTTTTTAGTGCTGGGCCCAATTTTTAACGTGTTCCTAATTGTTCTGTGCCAACCAGAAAAGAATTGTTTATTAAGAGAAAAAGCAAACAAAACAAGCTCAGAGATGATTTCTTTTTGTGATCTTGTAGGGTGTTAGGAGGGGGATGTTTGTTTGAGTGTCAAACAGTGAACCAATACTGCTTCTCTGAGAGTCTCTCAGGCTCTCCATGTGACAGATCTCTTTTTCTTTTAGTAAAATTAAGATAATTACCAGCCTGAAATGATTGCGGGACTAATTAATTGTTTGTAAATTACTTTAGAATTGTAAATGGCAATAGTAGCTCCAATATCGTAGGTGTGTGTATATATATATATATATATATATATATATATATATATTTAAACAGATACAGTGTGAGCAGTAGCTGCTGTTGCAAATGGCATTTCAGACTTTGCTGACTGGTGTCACTGATTACCTCAGCATCAGCTGTAGTAACCTGTAAAGAAACAAAACATACTCTTGCCTCTATCACTTTCTTTTTGTGTACGTTCACAGTCACAAGAGTGGTCTGACACACGCTGTGTCCTTCACTGAAGTTGCATACAAAAAATGTTTTCCACTTCAGTTTGAACCAAGGTGATTAAGTTCAGATTTCTGGAGTTTCCACTTGTTCTAATGTAATTCAATCCATTTCCAGAACGTGGCTCTGAAATTGTATCTCAGAACGATTGGTTTAGGAGAGAATTTAAGACATGTTTAAGAAAAAATACATTTGTAATTGTTTATAGTATGTATTTGTATTAAATAATATTAATACATAAAATACAGAGTTGATAATGTAGAAACTAGTTCAGAATTGATGTTTTCAGGAGTTCATCTGGGTAAAGACAGCAATGTACAGGTTTTTACTGGCAGATATTTTTAATATTTATATGCAATATAGACTCTTGGGTGTTTATCCTGAAATTTTCTATACTAGTATGCTTGCATACATTCATCTTCTCTAACACAGATGTTACATAAATAAAAATATTAATAGAAAGAAGTAGCAGCCTCTTGACTGTAGTGAAGCCTGGGAGTAGATAAACTGTTAATTCAAATTAAATTGCTTTTATGAACTTCTTGTCATTTATATTAATTACTTGTACTGGCCTGACCTAACCTACTTAGGTGGAACTGCAGAAATTACAGATGCTTCCATTGTACATGCAGAGAATGCAAAGAGATTTACTTGCTTAAATGCACTCACAGATGCTGTCTACATAAAAATTAATAAAATTCACTGATGTTGTGTTGCCATAATGGTAGAAGTGCCTTTGAAGTTTCTGTTGAGACTTGTACTTCATGATGGGACAGGCTGGAATAGTTTTGCCTGTCAATGGGAATACCAATAATGGTAATTAATAGTCTTCGTCCTCTGTAAGATTTAAGAACAGAAAACAAATACAGCTCAAATGATAATAGAACTCTTTATGATTCTCAGGTTAACAGTCCCCTATCCATTTTTGTGTAGCAGAGAAATGCTCACTGGAGACTTGTTGCTTGATTCCCTGGTGAAAAATAAAGATTTCTAAAAGGTTTATAGAGCTTCCAAGCAAGTATACATAAAGAAAGGTAAAAGTGTTAGAAAAACTAATGATGTGACAACTTAACACACAAGACTTATGGATCTTATTTCTGAGGCGTTTATTCACACTGATGGCTAGTTGGCCATAGGGAATATGGTGAGGTTTTTTTTTGTTTATTTTCTTTATTTATTTTTTTAAAAGACATTTTATTCAAATATATTAGGTAGAGCAGTCCAGGGATCTTTGAGTTCCAGCTAACAGAATTCTCTGACTGAAGCAGGTCGTGGTTTGTTAGTGAGGTTCTTCTGTTAGTCCAAAAAAATTACAAATGAAGATTATGTTGAGGTGCAAATGGAGCTGGTACAGAACCACTATAGACTTTAGTAAGTAAAGTTCACATATTTAAATATATGCCCTCCTTTGTTCATATGAGTTAATAAGTTCTTTTTCTAGATTTCTCTGGTCAACTTTTGATTTTGGGTTCTGTGATGAAAGCATTGACACAACAGGGATAATTGTTTGTTTTTTTTTCTGCCCTTGACTTGATTAACAACTTTTCACTGTTGTGAACAGTTGCTAACAGCCATCCTGGAATTTCAGGAACCAGTGTGTTCTTATGAAGTCTCCAGAGACAAACGCTACGGTACAAACTGTATTGCAGCACAAACACCATCTCTGATCATTATCCTTGTTGCTTCTATACTTTCTGTAA